AACTGCTTTGAGCTTCTTTCTGGTAATTGCTACCAGCTTATCCAAAGGGAGGACGCAAATGACACAGTGAGGGCAACACAAGTATAATACCACATAAATAAGCAAACAACATTGTCCGACATGCAATCATCCAATTCATGCAAAAAAATTCAATTTACTTACAAGAGGAGGAGTCCCTTGAGCAATGCGCTGGACTGCGGAACTCCACTGTGCATTCCACATATATGGTCCAGCCACTGCTTGAAGAGCTATTGTACCATTGCTTCCCACGCTATCCAACGGAGTTGATGCAGAATTCGCCTGTTGTTGCGCTTTCAGAACCGGTGGTGCCAAGCCAAAAAGGGCAACATAGAACCATAAGTTGCGGAAGAGTTTTAAAAGTGAGGGTTCGACATTGACAGTTGGATCAAAGTCAGAACAGATTTCCGCAACAGCAGGAAGTAGAGGACCCAGAAAATCTGCTCCACTCCTACAGCCAGTAAGAGGAAAAAATAAAAATCCTCCAGATGCAATGAGGAATAGATGCATCTACGTAACATAGCAAGTGAAACCAAGCTGCAACACAAATTATAACTATCCACCTTCCACTCTTGGATTCAGCTGCCAGCCCCACATCCGAGCACAAAGAAAGCAGACGGTGACGGTAGTCTGATCGCAACTTTGGATTTGGAAGACCACTGGCTATCAAAAGAAATCCTGCAGGAAGAGTCTTGAGTGCAGATTGAAATAGTGAGTGGCTAATTCTGAGAAACCTTGAGAGTAAGCTGGGAAATTAACAAGGCAATCCATGGCCGTAACATGAACAAGCCTACCTCAACACGTTCCGTATTTGCTTCAGCAGGTAAAGTTGTGTTTTCTGCAGATCCTACACTGGACAATTTACCCAAATAACTTCTAGTCATTAGGACAACTGTCTCACGGTATGACTTCTCAAAACCTAAACTTGCTATCCGTGATACAGCATCAAGAAGCTGCAGGTATGAGAGAGAGGAGTCAAAAATCATGCAGCCAAGTTGCAAGACCAACATGAAATTAACTATCGTATGTATGGAGGATATAAAAAAAACACATTAGTATATAAATATATATTACAGCAACAGACAATCTGGAAAGAAAGAACACCATACTCGAAGTCGCAATATGCCAGGAGTTAAAGCATCACCCTCTTCTAAGCTTTCAACAAAAAGTGGCAAAATCATGTCCACCACTTCAGACTTGTTAACAGCAACAGTCAAATCAGCTAGCAAACGTATGAGATTAAGCTGTACAGCTGGAACCTCCTGCTTCTCTTTCTCAACCTGAAGTCAGCAAGAATTGTGAAGGAAGAGTTCTCGTCAATTTTAACTAGCTATTTGCATGAGAAGAGAGATGACTCAAATTGCATCCAACCCACACATATCTATCAGACCGCCTCTTCCATGGTTGGAAGGATGGATGAACGTAGATTTTGATTGTTACTCTTTCTTAACCATCAAGGACGGGCAAAAGGAAGAACCGACAATGGCAGAGACCAAAAAACTCTAAACTTTAGAGTTGAAAGATCATTGATATCAGTATTATGATCAATACAAAAATCTTATCTCTTCAGCCTGCACACCTTAGTTCACTTACAATATGCTCCACAGTTTCGCGTTCTCCCATTTCTATCATGTCATTCCAATTCAAGTACCATATGTTCATGTATACTCTAATTTACAAATCTTTCAAACAAACTGAGGCTATGTTAGTTTCACCTACCTTTTTAGTTCAAACAAACACATTTTGATAAGCCTAAAATATAGAGTATAACTATTCGTGATGATCCCTACAAATTGCCAAAAACTAAAGGCACAACACTAAGGAAATTTCATTCTCAACTTTGGCCACCTGAGATAAGAAGCTAATCTGAAATTATACTCATAATAGTCATTTCATAAAAAAAACATTTATTTATATAAAAAAAAACAAATTATCTCACATCTCATCAATTACCTTTTCATTTTGATAATGTCATCAGCTACCTTTCCATTACTAACTACAATCTTTTTTACTGATCAACTTTATTTTTTATAAGACCTTCTAAGATCCATTTTTGCTACTAAGTTTTTAAGTTTTGATTCCTAACGTTTTAGAAAAATCCCAAACAAACACACTCTAATATAACTAGCATGACCTGCAACCTACAAACAAAGAAAAGAGAACAGAAAGAGAAAAAAATTGCAACAGGGAGGTACATCTCAAAGACAGAAGCCTATGTAAGCTGACCTGCTCATCATAGTCATTCCGTTCACGTATACTTGTTGCCAATCCCAAAATAAAAGTATCAACAGGGGCTCGGTCCTTTGCCCATCCAGATTCAATTATTTGGCAACTTGTCTTCATCACACTCTCAAACATTGCTCCCTGACAGCTAGCCCAAGTATCAGCCTGGAAATCAAGAGAAGAGGAGGGGGGGGGGGGGGGGGGGGGGAGGGGGGGGGGGGGGGGGGGGGGGGGGGGGGGGGGGGGGGGGGGCATAAGTAAAGAAAATTGGCGACAAATGACAATATTAATGACATGATACTAATAACTCATTATGCTTACTTGTGCACATGCTGTCAGCACAAGGGGTTTAAGGCGAATAAGTAGAACTCGAAGGGGCTGACCACCCCTGCTTACAGCAATTTGCGCAATCCCCGCAAGCAATGAACTAAATAGCTCTTCACAAACTCTCAATTTCCTCCATAAAGATAGCAAACATGCTTCAGCAGCATCTATTAGCAATGCAAGAGTTTCAAGAACCAATCTTTTGGAGGTTTTTCCATCAGCATCAAGAGATGCAAGGCTCTTTATTTTCATTCTAGCTGCAGCTTGGTAAACTGATAGTTTAGCAATCACCCTAGATTTCAATAGCTGCCCCTGTATGTTCCAGTCGCGCTTCCTTATCTAGCCACATAATGAACTGCACCACTTTAGTCCTCCTATCAAGAATGTTATACATCGAGAACATTTACTAAAGCACGAAAGCAACATCCAGGTTATCTATATGCACAAAATATAGCATAGATATTATTTCCCAGATGCAGTTATAATACAATTTTAATAAAATTGAACTAGCATGATGCTTAACCTTTTACCAAGTTGCCAAATACTAACCAACCAGATGGCTGACACATATGAAGAAAATTCAGCGATTACTCCTTGAAATGCAACAAAATAGGCAGTATGTACTTTGGATGCACGTTGCTTTCTTTCCTTACTTTCCTCAAACTTCTAAAAACATAAATTCGTTCCTATGCCGCCCCTTAAACACAGTGAAGCTCATTTTCTAGAATCTTCTAAAATACACATAATAGTGAGAAAAAAAGAAACAGATGATGGGTGCATACATTGAGTTCTTACCTTTAAAAAAGCAGACAGTGAGTGCAGCTGCTTCTTAGCAATGAATCTTACTTGTTCTGAAAGCTTGTTGTCAAGCTTCACATGAGTCAATACATTGGCAATCAACTTGAATGCAATTTCATGCTTCTCCAATCCCTCAACGCTCTCCTCCTCAAACAAAGCCGCTTGCTGCTTAAATAAAACCCCACCGGCATCGTTGAACCCCATGCTCATTCCCATGGTCTCAAACCCACTCTTCCACATCACCCCACTCCCGTTCAGCAATGCTGATGTTGACGACAAGCCACTTAATGAGCCCCCAGACACCTGGCTTAAATCATTAGCTGGACTAGAAACGCCATTGTTACCATGATGATTGACTTTGATTAAGGGGGAGCTCTGGTACGATGAAGTTCCTGAGTTACCACCCGCTTGTTCACCCGATGATACCCCGACCTGATCAAGAAGAGTGGTCACCAGCTTCTCCCCATCAGAGGCCAAAATAGGCGGGAAATTCTGCGTCAAAGCCAGCAGAAAAGCTCTCGAAATGGCCAAACTCTCACTGGCATTGTGATTAACCGCTTCCATAACGACTTCACCTAGAAATCCAGCAATCTCGTCACCAAAATCCACGCACGTTTCCGCCGATTTTACCAAATGGGCCAAGAAATCAGCATAAAACGCCCCGATCGAGTCGACATTGAATGACTGCGGCCAGAAGGATTGTCGAAACGACGACGGAATTGCGCGGAGAAACTCGAGGACGATGGACTTGGGCCGGAGATCGATGGAAGGGTCGTCGGTGCCCAAGGAGAGGAATCTGGCCACGGCGAGAACCGCATTGAGCTGGGAACGCGAAACCCTAGACGATCCGCCGTGCAGAGCCTCCGGCTGCGGGCAACGGTTGCATAGCCACGTCAATTTCTCCGCGAATTGCGTCGGGTTCTTGGCAATGAGCTCGCAGAGCTCCATCAACGGGTCCATTGCCTCTGAAACCTAAGGTCCGGAAAACAAAAATTGACGCGAGGCAACAAGCAGAACGGAGAAATGGTTAAAACAAAAAAATTCCCTCAAAATTCTCGAATTCTCTCTGTGAGGCAATCGAAGTCACCGTTGAACCGCAGATTTCAAAGAATGGATGCCAAATGTGAAGCGGGAGAGGCGGGAAGGAGTGGCGGGAGAGGGGGAATTAGGGTTTACAGGAAGCGGGAAACACGATCATCTTCGGCGGAGAAGAGAAGAAAGAGAGAGGAGAAGGGTCGCGGTTGGTCCTGCATTTCTTCTCGTCGCTCTCGCCATTGTTTTTCGCTCTGTTTTTTCTTCTTTTCTTCTCCTCTTTTCTCTTTCTTGAATTAATTTTTCTTTTTTTTCTTTTTAATCCCTTCCTTCTTTTTCAATTTTAGTTAATTTTCCGGCTTATTTTTGCCTTCTCACTTCTCAGCGCGTTTCCCACTTTCATCTTTCTCTCTCTAGTCTCTGGCCTCGACGTACGGTCACCGAATGTGTTCAGAATTCCCGATTTCCGACACAGCACCAATAAACTTGCAGTCGTAATTCTTTTTAACAGTCTGGGTCTTGGGCCAAGGGCCCAAGGCCCATACTAGAACGGACGAGGATAAACGCCTACCAGCAAAAGAAAGCCCGGAACAAAAAGGGCAATCCAGTAAGAGAAATCGAACCCAGCTTAATGCGTCCAAAGATGGCCCAACTATCTAATCAAAATATTTGTGGTGGGCAATAGGTTGGGTGAGTTTTGGTTTCGAATTAACTCACCCGCTTATTAGTGGTTGGGTTGTGTGTTAACCCGCAAAAATAATTATTCAACTGATCATTAAAAAATTTTACTGACATTTATAATAAATTCTTACAGATTAGTAAGACTATATCAATTTAAAAACTCTCACTTTATCTCATGTGAATCTGTGTACTATTTGCATAAAAAATTCAAGTACTCCATAAATTGTGTAAAAAAACTAACACATTTTGCGACTTAATACAATTAATCGTTTATAATATATATCTCAATATATAATGGGTATTACACAACACAATACCCAGTAATAGTAGTCCAAACATTTTCTTTATACTCCACCTTTAGAACTAGATGGTCAGTGTGTAGTGCGGTTAGAAAATATGATGAATATTTTTTAGTATAAGAAACAACATTTTGTCATGTGAAAATATGGTGCAGGTCATTCGTGTGAACCCGAAATCCATCTATCACCCACCCACATAAGTGCGGGCAGGAGATTTATCAATCCACAATTTACCCATATGAACCACGCCCTGCCTCCGGGTCGGGTTATTTGCAGGTGGATTGATGACAACCCGCGAATTAGTCATCCGCGTGCCCACCCCTACAAAATATCATCCTTTGTTTGTTTTTTTACAATAAATAATAAATATCATCAATCGCTATTCACTCATCATACTTAAATTCTCATAGTATAAAAACCAAACCGAATCAACGACAATAATTAAATTCGTTTTGTTCAAATTATAGTGAGCCAACTTTATGAAATACTAACTAACAAATTGGTTACTAAACTATCAATAATAAAATTCACTTTCACCATCAACGTCAAGCAATTGATCTATTAATAATCCGAGACTCTAATGACTGAAAACATAAAATTACTGAATTGACTCCAAACTAGCACCATACGTTTTTTTTTTTTTTCACAACTAGCGCCATACGTTAGATTCCCCAAAAGCCAAAAACATAGATATCAAACTGTAACTTCCATGTTCCATCAAATATCATTTCATGCCATTTCAATTCGCCGAACGACTGAACACGCGAAGCGCATTTTTGGCCGTCTATTGTTATTTTTTTCCTCCATTGCCGAAGCCCGATCATTCTGCTGTACTACTATGTGTGCCATATTCCCCTGGAAGTCGGCATCTTCGTCCCTACACTTTGTTTCCTTGTGATCGAATCTCCAGTCCGTTTTCATCCTCCCTTGTTCTTTCAGTTCCCTTAAGAATCCAAAATAAACCTGGGTTTCTTCTCCCACATCCTTTTGTTACCCTCTACACGAATCACTATATAGTCTCTGAATGCTCCCTTACGTACTGATATATCCCTGTTACTGGTTTTAGCTATTAGAGGTGACTGAGAGTGATATCTGTTCACTTGGGTCTTTCTTCGTTGCTCGGATCAATGGACTCCAAGCAAAAAGTTCGAGGATTTTCCTGCTCGATTCACCAGGTAACTACCTTCTTTTCTATAGCATTAAGCTTTTAAGGGCTGGAATATCTGTTAGGTCTGCTGTCGCAATCGGAGTAATGGGGACTTTGACTTGTGAACTTACCAAATCCGTCCTATGTGAAATAGAAATGCTTTCAATAGCTCTTTTTGCAGTATGGAGCGATGGGATTCAATGCTTCTTTTTTCTGGGTTGGTTGAGTTAGATAGCTATTGATGCTTGGAGTTTCTTGGCAATTTGTACAGATTGGGAATCTGGGTCTCCAGCTGCTGTGGAGTTTGGTACACCTACTTATCAGCATAGGTTACTTTGTAGTTGCTGCTGCTGCAGCTGTTGAAAGCTATCTGATCTCCAGTGGGTTGCTAACTCGTTACAAAGTGCTTAACATCAGCAAGCTCAAGTACTTGGCGATCGTGATAGAGAGTGATGATGCTGTTCAAACTTCTAAGGTTGTTCAGCTTTTGAGGTGGCTGGAAGTTATGGGCGTCAAACGAATGTGCCTATACGATGCACAAGGTAAAAAAATGGCTGTTGTGTACATAATCTAGTTCGATAGATCTGCAATTCGCCAATCTGAACATGGTGTTGTCCTCATCTGAACATGTTGGATTTGTTTTGTGCTTGGTCTTACTGTAGGAGTGCTTAAGAAATCAAAAGCTTCAATAGTGAAGATGTTGGACAATGCAGTTCTCTTTGAGGTAACATCTCTGTTCTACATGTTCTAAACTTTGTTTTGGGAGTCTTTGACTTCCTGAATTGGTCTTGAATCTTGATCAACGAATGCTACCAGCCAGTTAAATTGTCGTCCCTGTAAAGTCAAAAACCCAAACTTGATATTAGATGTGATTTGTTTTTCTTTCTAATGTTGTCGTCTTTCATCGGATGATGGATGAGTTACTAATAGCATGAGTCAACTGAAAAAATGTGCTAGTCAACTTCAGTAGTGATAACATATTGCTCTGAACGTGGGTCTTGGTTTTCTTGCAGGAACTTGATGAGAAAGATTTGCTTGAAAAGCCAAAATGTATGGCTCTTGAATTTGCTTCCATGTCTGATGGAAAGGAAGGGGTCGTCAAGGCTGCAAACCTGCTGTTTGCCAAGTATATGGAACTTGGAAACCGTGATGGGCTGGATGATGAGTTTTTTACGGAAGCTCAAGTCGGGGAGGCATTAAGAGCTGTAGGTTTGTTCTACTTCTCTTGAATCATTTTGAGCAGTTGGAAGTACTTGTCTGATTGCTCTATCTGATCATGAATTTTGTACTCTGGAAATGAGATCTTTCTCCTTTCAGGTTGCAAGGGGCCAGAACCTGACCTATTATTAGTTTATGCACCGGTGAGATGCCATCTTGGTTTCCCTGCTTGGAGAACTCGATACACCGAGATAGTGTAAGTAGTTTTTGGTTCAGTTATATTTTATGTTCTTTTCTTGTAATGCAGCTTGGCTTATAATCTTCAACTCAGCACCTACTAGATGAAAAGATATAACACTACAGCATTGAGCCAGCTGCTTTGTTCTCAGAACAACGGAGGTCTCATGTGAAAAAATTTATTCTGTGCAGGAATTTGTGCTTAAGTTTTAGTCAGCTAGATGAATATAGGGCTTTATAGGATCGATGTGATTTGTGGACGGAATGAGGCCATCTGGTCTAAAAGTGCTTCAAGTATTATCCAGCACGGATGACCTTGTTTGTTTCAGTTCATCACAATTTCATACTTCACTCGATTAAATTTCGGTCCGATTTTTTTGTTTTTTGTTGTTGATACTTCACTCTATTACATTATACTCCATCTGTAGACAAATTCTGTTGAGTGCTGTTGTAACAACTGAATCATTCACGTCATTCGATATTAAACCATCGATGCTTTTGTGTTCCCATCTCTGAGCTTGAAGGGTGCATGCAATGATTTTTATATGAGTTCTGCTTCAGATACATGTATTTTGATGAAATGACGATTATGTTGGTGTATTGCAGCCATATGGGATCATTGAAGTCCATGAGACTTGGCTCCTTGACCAAGGCAGTTTACAAGTTCACTAGGGTGCGCCAAAACTACGGTAAGGGTTCTCCTGTCTGCACACTTTGATAATGGCCATTAGATTCGTAAGATCGAATTCTAAAGCTGGTCCATTTGGCCGAACAATGTTTGACAGGGAAATGAGTGGCCAACGCAAGAGGGGAATGGACATTTCCAGCAGAAGACCATGGATGATCTGAAATTGCAGCGAACTCGGGCTCTCGATACAAGCATATTTTTATTGTTCTGTATTCAGCTCTCGTAAACCAGGATTTGGCTGTATCATCTTTGTGCTATACTTAGGAAAAAGAATGAGAAGTCTCCCTACACTCCATGGCGCTATTATTATGCTCCCTATATTTGCTGTAACTTAGTGAAACAGCTGGGGTAAAACTCCTGATGCTCTCTTCATCTATTGCCCTGCCTTTCCTTGGTGCGTGCATGTGTGCTGTAATAACAAAAAATGCACTGAAACGAAGACTTAATAAAAGGATTTGGCATTGCCCTAGTGCAAACTTACAGCCTCCATTCTGATTCAGGATGAAGAAAATACAATACAATGACATGTTTATCTGCTAACATGATCTGAAGTTCAGGGACATAGTTTTTTTCAAAGGTATTCTGTGACCTACTTCATACATTATCCTTCATCTAAGTTCAGTACTCTGTTTCCAGAATGCCATCAATCAACCCGAACTCCATTGCCTGCAATCCACAGAGCAGGCAAAAGATCACAAAAATCAACTAGCAGGGGCAAGAAAATCTCAGAAGTTCAAATTCCGAGTACAAGTGGTTCCTAATTTCTGTAAATGTCAAATCGTCCAGCTTGGTGCTCGGAATCCTTATCATAGGCTAAGTTCACTATAACATTGAATTCGGAATTGGGCAGGGGCAGGGGCAAGTTCTATTTAAAGTGATGGAAGCAGTTATCATTCACTTACTTTCTCCCATTCCTTTTAACAATTCGGAAACCATGGCAATTCAAATCTGACTGGAGTAGTTGTGACAACATACCTCTGATGTAGACAGGAACCTATCTCTCTCTGTGTACTGTTGCACAGTCTCGAGAGGTTGGCCAGTAAATGCAGCATACATCTTGTCAACTTTCTGCACCCCAAGTGCCAAACATATCAGATTCAATGGAACACAAAGCTTTGAACAGCGAAAACATTCTTTAAACGATATAAGCAGTTTCACAAACGACCTTCCCTCAGCCAAGAAGAAGATTCCATTGTTAAGTCTACTTCAAGCACTCGGAATGAACTGATAGTTTATTTTCTCAGCTTTCTAGGAGATCAGTGTACATAAAATAAATTCTAGAGACAGGGAGAGAAAGTTACATGGCGAGATTGAACAGCTTCATTCACTTGTCGCCTCACATCCTCCACATGACCCTACATGAATGAGTTTAAAACAATATCTAAGATCAACTAGGTGCCCGAAGTAACCCGAAACTACGATTACGGTTTGTAACATGATAACTACAATTACGGTCAGCACATGCTGGAGTTTACACAGATAGCAGTAGAATGATCCGTCAGCTGTTATGCCACACAGATGAAATCAAGTATCAACCATTCCAATAATAACATATTCTGCTTCCTGATGATTGCACCTTATATTACATTCAGATACTGGCAAACAAACACAAGTTTTCCTCAATTAATTTATCTCTAAGCTGCAAATCGCAAACAAAATCGAGAATCAACCATTTCTGACTTACCCCGCATCCACTCTGTGGTTGATGTATCATTATTCGGGAATTAGGCATTGCATACCGCATTCCCTTCTCTCCACCAGCAAGAAGAAGAGCTCCTTGGCTTGCAGCTACTCCGAAACATACAGTGCCAACTTTAGGCTTTATCTGAAAACATTACGAAAGAACAATCAACCATTGTTAAAGAACAACCAACATGATAACTTGATGCATGACTTTGAATATAAAACATGCATTATCCAAGACACCGATACCAGACCTAATACACAATACTTGAATGATACTATTACAACCAATTTCAGTTCCAGGAAATAAAAGTTGTAATTCACCAATGAAATCAAGAGAAATTTAAGAGAGAATAGAAGCCGAAACAATAAATTACCCAGGACATGCAGTCATAGATTGCCAACACAGAGTATGTACTTCCACCAGGGCAGTTCAGATAGACCTGACAAAGTAAAGGCGAGCAAACCATTAGAACTTAAGCTAGCAATTGGAGTTGGTAACCATAAACAAAATCCCCAAAAGAATAAGGAACATTGCACATTGAAAACATATGCACACCATAATATCTGCCTTCTCGTCAATAGTCGCTAGAGTCACAAGCTGCGATATGACACGCTGAGCAACTCGTGAATTGACTGGCTGGCCAATGAAGATAATCCGGTTTCGGAACAACACAGACAACAGATCCAAAGCTCCTCCAGGTGTAATCACTGCTGGCATTATGGGAGGGTTACCCTTCTTGCCATCATCCTCGGCAGACCTGTATACTGATGGTATTATAACTCTGCATCAACCTAACTTCAGTAGTCCATTGATTCCTAATCCAATCCTGAGTCATTTAAGCACCCTATATAGTCATTTAGTAAACAGAAAACCACTCATTCCTGAAAACTTATGATCACAATGCAAACCAGACACAATTGAAAGATAGAATAAAACCAGTGAAGCTGCTAGTGATTTTAGTTTCTCAAAGCAGTCATATTGATTCTGATTCCTAACTAAAACTTGAGCAACAGCTCTATCCCTCTGCCATGAATCCGATGAGGTGAAACTAAATACATCAACCGAAAGTGATTCTCAAAGTCGAGAACTTCACCATCTACTTGAATAAGCATCGTGCTTGGTAGCGTCCCAAATGTCTAACTGAAATATATGCTCATGAAACCATACTTCCAGTAAGAACAACAGTGTACAGGGTAGAGAAAAAACCTGAGACTAGAACCATAGATAGCCGGCTCGTCTATCCTTAAAGGCAACCCAAAATCATTCTTCGATATTCCTGGACAAAGGCACATGTGCCTTACAGCAACTCAGTTACTCAATCCAGTATACACTACGTTACCCAAGTAACATCAGCTGAACCAATCAACAAGCGATGCTCAGAAGAACAAGCCCAAATGGAACACAATTCAGATTTTTCGAAACCTCACCATTTGATAAAGAATCGCCGTAGGGACGAGGCAAAGCGGAAGCTACGAGCTTTGTGCCCAAGTTTCTGCGAGGGATTCCCACAGAAGGAGGGCAGGATTGAGCATGGGAAGGAGGAGTTGAAGAAGAGCAAGGAGATAGGGAGATGCGGAGAGGAGCTGAAAGGCTGAGTGAGGCTGCCATCTCCGAAATCTGAAAGAACGAGAAGATCTTCTTCGAGAATTGGCGAAGAATGAAGATTGAAACAACTCTAGACTATCGTCACTCGTCAGTTTATCGCGTTTCTCTTTCGGTTGTGAGTTGTGACTTGTGAGAACTGAGAAACCAAACGTTTCGGTTTTCGCGTTTGCCCAGGCCCAATAATGTGGGCTTGTTTTTTCCCAGGCCCAAGCAATTTTAACCACTCATAAGCATCCTTCAGCGTTGACAGCCCACCTGGATTTCAGCCCACACGAATAAATCCTAGGGGGTGGGTAAAGGTTCGTTCCGGATCGGACCAGAGTGGTTGTCAACCCGCAGGCTGACCCGGACTCGGTCGAGCTAGTGGGTCAAGAGTTAATGGGTCAGTCATTTTAGCCCGGTTTAGCCCGGAAATATGGAAAATATCATTATATTGTACTTAGCCTGATAAATTATATCAAATCTCATCTAACATATGAGTTATAACATATAATATTCCACCAAAATAACATGATGTACTTAGATCCAACATATGGTGAAAATTCACACACTCTTATATAACATCAAATGTTCAACTTAGGATTCCAAAGATTGAGTTAGGCGAAAAGAAAAATTGAAAAATAGGCGCATTTCGCAAACTAAAGAAAAAAAATGACACAGTTTGATCTCCAGCCCGGTATCTTATAGCGGTCGACCCGGCGGGTGCGTGCGGCCCTTTTTTCTCACTGGGTCAGGATCAAAGTGGGCGACCCGGGTTGACAACATTCACCAGACCAAATTTGACAGAACTGCGGTTTAATAGAAAAAAACATCTTAGAACCAATGACCAGATCAATAGTATATTCGATCCAATTTGATTCAGTTTGATTTGGTCGAAATGTCAATTCATTTCATTTTTCTCCGGTATTTATCATGGGACTAATAATCGGAGCGTCGTACCCACTTACAAGAATGGATTGAGAATTGACAAACCTTAAATTCAAAATTTCAACAAAACACTTGTACACCCTTTTATTTCATCGTTGGTAGTATTTGGATTGGAAATAATTTGACAATCCCTAAAAGATTTTAGTCTATCGTTGAATACCCTTCATGAAATTTCGGGATCTGTCATTGTCGGACCATTTTATATTAGGTTCGATACAGTCCACGCCAAGAGACCATATAATCTGGTACTGTACAAAACAGACCAAACCGTTACACACCCCCTACTTATCAATAGAAGGTTGAACTTCAAACCGAAAATGAAGGGAGTAGAGGAACTCAAATCGACTGGTTTCAAATCCACCCAAATTGTAGGTCAATTTTGTATAAAATGTTGATCTACAGCTGCAGCCATTGTTGATATGTATCGAATTTCTGAATTAACTTGGGTCACTTTCTGAGTGCGGTGGATTGCGTTATCCTGCCTGGCCACGAAGATCCATCAATCATATCCATGGGCGGATAGGCGTGGAGGTCGGTAGATAACAGACATTTTGACCAAAACAATTAAGAAACCAGCAATTTTCAGTGAAAAATGAAATGTCACCTAACTCCTTTTTCTGGATGTATGCATGATTCGGATAAACAGAGAGTTGCCCTTTCAATGTTCCCGTTGACTTTCGTACTCGGCCAGTATGGTGCACATGTATGGTGGTGGTACTGCTAAGGTCAACACCCCCCCACCAAAAAGAAGAGTAACAACTAACAACAGACAACACAACAATCATGCCAACATGAACAGTTGACTTTTTAACACACATCATGCTTCTTTCGACCTCGTTTCTAATCTTTTCCAACAATTTGAATTGTCATTGGTGAGATAAATATACGGCAGTTTATTTTTATTTCGAACCCTTTCATCGTATATAACAAAATCAAACTTTAAACTTTTGTTATCAATGGGTAAGAAAGTGGCGGTTAAAATTCCTACATGGACCTCTTCCAACAACGAGAGCTATTGAGATAACTAATGATCTGTCCTTGAGGTCACATATTCAGGTCTTCACGACTCTCAATGTTTACCGTTAACTTAAAATACATGGTATATAAGACATGTACAAATTTCAAGTCCATAATTAAAAATAACATATAAACAAAAATCTAAACATCCAAACCCAGCGTCTCGATAAATTTTAACCACTTCTTTCCACCACTATTTGTCTATTTTCTCACATTCAATACAAGGGGTTTTCTTTGCTTCTAAATGCACATATATATCCGATTATAATATCCTATAGAAGAAAAAAGAAAAAAAAACAACATGCAGTACAAAAACACGACGATCTGACCAGCTCCAGAATATTTATTTTAATTAACTAAGCAGCTGGGTAGCTGGCTGGCCGGTGGTCCGACCGGTCTAGCCGCCATGTGATTGTGTGGCGTGGTAAATGATGGCGGTGGTCTGGGTGTCGAAGTTCCTCATGAACCGGTTTATTGTCACCTTCTTCTCCCCATCCACTGCGGCGGCGGCGGCGTGGTCGTCGTTGCCGGCGGCGAGCAGCTCTTGGATGGGTTTGGGAAGAGGCTCGTCCTTCATCACTTTCTTCCAGTATTCTTCCGCCGATTCCTCTTTCCTTATAGCATCGTTCACCCTGAAACTGGCCTGCACATGCCCAACAAATTACACATATCAGATTCACGGGAAGAAAGAAAGACACAAAAAAGAAAGATTGTCGTTAATTAATCGGGGTTAGCTAGTTAATTACCATGAGAAGGCAGAGGAGAAGGCAAGGAACAAGGCTGGATTTCATGGCTGCCTAGTAGTCTATATGTCTTTTTTTTTTTGGGGGGGGGGGGGGGGGGGGGGGGGGGGGGGGGGGGTTGGTGTTGGGAGTTTGGAGAAGTAGAGGAGAAATGGTTTTGTTTGTTGTTGGGTAAGGTGGCTGGGGGAGTATTCAACTCTGGTGTCCATTGCTTATTTATAATGGTAATGGAAGGACATGGAAGTTTTTATTATATTATTTCTAAAAAAACAAAATGGTATTATTATTATATTTTTTTAAGAAAATGGTATATTATTATATTTTTCTAAAAAAACTAAATGGTAATATTATTATTATTATATTTCTAAAACTATAAAAAGCTATTTAGCATTATAAATTGAGCAGCAGGCTGCAACAGCCAGCCAATGCTTTATTTAGTATTACTCTTCTTACAGAAGTGAGTGGATTGATATATTGATTAAGCCATTATTTTGCTCAAGTTGGTTCATCGTGAACAAACTAGTATTAAAAAAATGGTTTGGATGAATTTATATGAAAAAGAGACAGTTTTATAAAAAAATAGTCATTTAAAAGGAAACAATTTGAATTATCTGTCCTGCCCCAAATAATTATATTTCGCCTCAAAACAAGTCAATCAAAATTCATTAGTAAAAATGAATTCATTGAAATTATATGTGACTGTTAAATGAATTAATTTGATCTAATTGTCTCAAAACAAGATAATTTAACTTCATTTATTAGATGTCGGTCCGTGGTAATCCACGACAACTGGTACCATCTAGGGATGACAATTTACCCACCCATGGGTAATTTTTCCCAAACCCAAGTAGACCCATTTATTATGGGTAGGGTTTGGGTGGTGCGTATGGGTTTGGGGTTTGTATATGGGTTTGGGATAGATATGGATATTATCTAAATGAGTATGAGTTGGATATATGGATATCCATTTACTTGAGGGTGTTTTAACTACACATACAAAAATTGGACCTATTTGTAAAACTTGAAAAGTTTAGGCACCAAAATGTGATACCAAAAAATTTAGGTACTAAAATATAAATTTTCATCGATATTTTGAGGACTTATATGCAAAAAAATAGATACTAAATATGCATAACTATTAAGTTTAGGTACCAAAATGTAATTTGCATTTGGGTATGGGTACAAACCCAAATTCATATGTTAAAAACCCAACCCAATCCAAGTAAATGGGTATGGGCACAAACCCATCAAACTCTGCCCATCTAACATCTATTTGAATTCCATACCCAACCCAATTGGGTTGGATAGTAAAATACCCATGGGTATAGGTAATATTGCCATCCCTACTAACATCCTTTGTCTAGATGCTTGATTTTGCTTACCTATCTTCCTTAGCTCAGATGTTATTCTTTTCCTTGAAAGATTAAGGGTAAGCAAAATGACACAATTAACTCCTATAAAGTAACACGTGAAGTTGACAAAAGAGATGATGAAGTCACATGTTAAATAAGAGATGCCAATTGTCTGTCCTAGGTTAATCTATTCGTTAATTGTCTGTCCGAGGCCTTTGAGCCATCAGACTTGTCATCGGTCGAGGTCACCATAGGAACAGAAGAGGTACGGACCTTAGCGCTCCGATACCATGAGAAATCGACTTAATCTAGATCACAAAAGTAAAGGAGACGAGGTTTACGTGGTATCCCCGACGGTGTGTCGGGACTAGTTCACGGGAGAGCTTGAATGCTCTCCGGCTATACTTTTATTATTTGTGATGGATGATAATGGCCGTAGCCTGTACAACGCTTATATAACCCTTTACATTGATCAACTAGGGTTGGAGAGTGCTTCTCCTCCTCCTGTAACTCGGACGTAGCTTGTTGTGCATGAGCATGGGCCGACGTTATCATGGGCCTGGGCTCCTGACGTGACCAGGCTGTGCCACTAGCCAACACTCCCCCGCAAGCTGGAGCGTGGATGTTACGAACGCGCAGCTTGGACAATAAAAATCGGAAACGATCAGCACCAAGGCCTTTAGTGAACATGTCCGCAAGCTGCATATGAGAGATGATCTTCAGAGGTAAGATATCGCCGGACTGAACACGTTCTCGGACGAAGTAGCAATCCATCTCCACGTGTTTGGTGCGTTCATGAAACACGGGATTAGCTGTGATGTGAAGCGCAGCTTGATTATCACAGAACAGAGGAGTGGATGCGTGCTGTGGTACACCCAACTCACTAAGCAGCCAACATAGCCAGAGTACCTCACTGACTGTGCTAGCCATGGCCCGATACTCGGCTTCAGCAGAAGAACGAGAAACCACACGTTGTTTCTTGGTGCGCCATGATATGGGAACGCCACCAAGGAACACAACATAACCAGTAGTGGAACGTCGAGTGCTCTCACAACCACCCCAGTCGGCATCACAATAGGCAGTGAGAGATAGGTCACTATGAGCGGGAAAGAACAAACCTTGACCCGGACCCGACTTGAGATACCGAAGGATTCGCAGAGCAGCATCCATGTGAGCCTGACTCGGGGAACTAACGAACTGGCTGAGAACGTTAACTCCGTAAGTAAGATCAGGGCGAGTCACCGTCAAGTAGAGTAATCGGCCAACAAGGCGTCGATACATAGTGGGATCAGCCAAGACATCTGTGTCAGCTGTCGAACGAGTCAAGTGGTGATTCTGTTCAACCGGGAACGCACTGGGTCGGGCTGCACCAACACCTGCATCCTCGAGAATATCTAGCGCATACTTGCGTTGACAAACGGCCAGGCCGTCGTGAGTACGGGCGAACTCCATGCCCAAAAAATAACGGAGAGGGCCTAAATCTTTGATGTTAAACTGCTCGTCGAGGACGTGTTTGACGCGGGAAATGAACTGCTCATCATTGCCGGTCAGTAGAACATCATCCACATATATCAAGGCGACGACAAAGGTACTCCCCCGGCGAAAGATAAACAGGGAGTGGTCTGCTGGGGATGCGCGAAAACTGAGAGAGCACAAAGCCTGTGTAAACTTATGGTACCAATTACGAGAAGCTTGTCGGAGCCCATACAAGGACTTGTGTAACCGACATACACGGGTATCACCAGGTGCTGCAAAACCCTGGGGAATCTTCATATAAACCTCCTCCTCAAGGTCGCCATGGAGGAAGACGTTATTAACATCCAACTGGTGCAAAGTGTCCGCCAAACCAGGAACCGCGCCATCAGGACGAGGTGATAAAATAATGTGCCCCACTTAATGAAGCAATTTTGTAGCCACCCCAGATGTCTACATGAACTAAATCAAAACACCGTTTTGTGCAAACCGCACTACTAGGAAAAGGAAGCCGAGTTTGTTTAGCCCGTATACAGGAATCACAAGGTTGTTTATTCAAACTGAAAGACAAATGAAGTTCCTCCCGCAACTGCACAAGCTTGTCGTGAGAATCATGGCCGAGCCTGGCATGCCAAAGTGCTTCGGAGATCACCGCCGGGCGCTTCACCGCACACGCCTGAGCCCGTCCCACGCCAAACAATTGCAGGTAGTATAGCCCATCACGTAATTCACCCTTCCCAATCAACTTCTTGGAGGTCAAGTCCTGAAGGACGCAAAAGTCACCGACAAAGATTAAAACAACATGATTATCCTGTGTGAAACGACTCACCGAAATCAGGTTACAGCGAAACTCGGGGACATGGAGAACACGACCAAGCTCAATTCCTGGCTGTAGGCTCACACGACCGATATGTTTGACCGGGACACTGTCACCGTTCGGAATACGAACCGGTGAACCATTCTCATTTGCTAGTTTATCAGTTAAAATTGTCTCATCCATAGTAATGTGCTCATTAAACCCAGAATCAAGCAACCATTCAGTACCGAGAGAGACCATACCTGCTAAGTGTGCCGCTGGGTCTTCGGAACCTTTGTGTGGAGAGCCGAAATATTGGCGGAGCTGCTCCAATTGACTAGCAGTAAACCCAGGGACAGGGCTCTTGTCCTTCTCCTGATCCGCTAGCGCCGCTCGCGGCTCCCTGTCACGGCCAAACCCCTCACGCCCACGCGAAGCCGGATCACGCCGGGGAGGCTCACGATCACGCCCCGACCACTCTCCACGCCCAAAACTCTCATCATTAGAGCGGGATTTCCGGCGTTGCTGGTCGTCGCGAGGAGGATAACCAATCAGCTGGTAGCAGGTCTCCCGAACATGGCCTTGCTTTTGACAATGGCTGCATCGAGGCTTATCGCGCCCCCCACGCTGTCTGCCACGATCACCATCAGCGCGAGCTGCAAACGCGACAGCTTCCACGGTCGGCCACCTGTTTTGGGTGATCAGCCGCTGTTGTTCTTCATGGACAGCAATATTAAATGCCTCAGGGAGAGATGGAGTCGGCTTCATCGCCAGTACTTGCGTTCGGACAGCCGAGAATACGTCGTCAAGCCCCATTAGGAAGTCGAAGAGCCTCGAGCTCTCGAGCTGCTCACGGACCCAAAGTGACACGCCGCAGGTGCACTTACCACACGTACAGCTAGGTGTGGGCGTGATCGCCGTGGATTCTTCCCAGAGTGACCGCAATTTAGTATAAAAGGCAGAAACAGAAAGCTTCTCTTGTTGCAAGGAACTAACCATTCGGCGGAGCTCATAGGCACGAGAGGCGTTCCCTTTACCAAACCGACTCTGAAGATCGTCCCATATCTCTCGAGACGTCTCGGCAAATCGGACACTGCTACGTATTTCTTTATCCATGGCTGTCTTGAGCCAGCCTTTGATCATTGCATCACAACGAATCCACGCGTTGCGTTGCTCGCCTGCGGCAGGTCTTTCGAGAGTTCCATCAACAAACGAATACTTGTTCTTGGCGATTAACGAGTCCTTCATGTCTAAGACCCATTCGCCATAATTGGAAGAAGTCAGGACATCGCCGACCAACATCTGGTCAGGACCATTTGAGTTGTGCAGCTGATAAACTGCCGGCAAGGCAAAATCCCCACCAGCCGCAGAAACCGAGGCCTTTGAGCCATCAGACTTGTCATCGGTCGAGGTCACCATAGGAACAGAAGAGGTACGGACCTTAGCGCTCTGATACCATGAGAAATCGACTTAATCTAGATCACAAAAGTAAAGGAGACGAGGTTTACGTGGTATCCCCGACGGTGTGTCGGGACTAGTCCACGGGAGAGCTTGAATGCTCTCCG